GATATGCCACCACATGTGGCTGGTATGAGTACACAGCCCCTCCCAAACCCAACACACCCCTCCCCACCCCCACCCCCACCCCTCCCTGATACTGCTGCACATCCACCCCGCCACCGACACTGCGGTCGCTGTCGTGACGGGATGGCGGCAGCTGCGTCGAGTCGTTGCTCCCCCCGCTCACCCGCCCCCCCACACGTCCCGTCTCCTCCACACAGCCGGGGTGGAAGCTCTTCCTTGCGATGCGCTCGTGGCCGTGCGTCGGGGCAGGCTCGGCGAGAGGGTGGTTCAGGCTGGCCGGACGCGCTGGCCGGACGCGGCGGCTCCGTGGTTGCAGTTTCTGCTGACCCTCATATGATCCGTAGCCCTGGGGGAAGCCGTGGGTGCAGTGGGGGGCGTGAGACGTGGTGGCGCTGCTCTCCATGGCCGTCGAGCTGAGGTTGTACGGCGTCATGGGCAGCGGGCAGAGGCCGACAATGGTCAGAATAGACGAAATATTAGACGGACGACGGACGAGTCCAATTGGACGAGTCGGCCGCTGGGGGCTCGACGAGCGGCTCAGTGGCGGTGTTGGGACGGCCGATATCAGACCAGCAAGCCTCCTGGTGAGGCAGAACAACGAATTGGCGGGAAAAGGGGCTTGACGAGCAGCCGAGACGGTTGATGACGGTCGGACCGTCGCTGGGGCTCACAGGTGAGCGCTGCGATGACAGAGGGACAACAATAGGGTCGAATGAAGGGCACTGCTGGTCACAGAGACTCGGAAAGAGCTCGTTTGCAATGCCGATGGCGAAATGCGAGCTCAAAGGGGGCGCGATCGGAGTACATGCGGACTGGGGGCAAGGGGAGTTGAGGTTGCTGGTCTGAAAGTGAAGAGTACCGCCTTTGTTGAGCCTGCAAAAAGCAAGACAAGGGCTCAGTGCCTTTCCTCGAGTGAGAGTAGGAGAAACACCACTTGAAAGACAGACACACGCGATGGGCAACATTTTGCTGAGTTGCTGCGAAGACAGCTACGTCCAGAAGGTGACACCAAACTAGCAGCAACTAATCAGTGGGGCCTTCGTGTCCATTTCTCCTCCTTTGCTGTCGCGTGGTGTGGTGTGGTGTGTTGTGTTGTGTCAGGGCCACCGTGCCTCTCCCACTGACGAGGGGGGCATTTCTGCGGGTGGGGCACTCAAAGACGCGAGCAAGGACCTCAAGGATGAAAAGAAGGTACACAGCCCCACCCACTCGCAAGCCGCTGAACACACAGAGCCTTCCGGGCCCTTCCCTCACGTCTCTCTCTCTATCTCTCTCTCTGGCTGTGTGTCGTGTGTGGCCTGTTGCCTGCCGCAGAAGTCAGTGACATTTCCAGCAGGCAGCGAGGTCGCCTTTCTCCAGGCCGCATTGACCAAGGCCAACCAGGGCTCCACTGGCTCTCCCCAAGCGAGCGAGTCGTCGCCAAACACGTCGGGGACGGGAACGACGCCCTACTTGACGCCGATGGGGCACGGTGAGGCCGACAAGACGCCCGGCAGCAAGCAGACGGCAGGGGGCCGCGTAGAAGACACCCCCGCCCATCTCGCCGCGCCGACCCCGAGCCATATTGAAGGCAAGAAATGGAAGACAGCAATGACAAGACGCATCCTTCTGTTTGTGTCTTGGTGTCTCTTCTAGCTGGTTCGCCGATCAGCCCGTCGCAGTGGGGTGGCGAGATGTACTCGACGTATGGCGGGGCGAGGACACTGGAGGGAGAGGGGGGCTGGCAGGGATAGATCGGTGAGTGGCTGGCTGGCTGGCCGGGGGTGGGCTTGGCTGGCTGCATGATGGATGTGCTGCTGCACTGAAAGAGAGGTGCGGGGCCTGTTGTTTGTCGCGGGGGTGGATGGGAATCGTTCCTGGTTTGTCGAATGCAGTCTCCAGTTCTTTCTCTGCTCTGAAAGCAGTGTGTGGCCTGCTCTGAATGGAAGACGACAAACCATAGAGAAGGGGTGCCAGCCCAATGCTATGCTGACGACGAGGGTGATGATGAGAGTGTGAATGGGCGTGGGGTCGTGACAGTGGTGACATGACGGACAAGTATAGAAGGCCTTATACTCACCCCTCAGCTATTCATCACACAGAGTCTCATGACACGATTGACACATCGAGAAATGCACCCCACACCATCAATCCATCCATCCATCCATCCGTCCGATTCCCTAGCCCTGCCCCTCCCCCACCGCCTTCGACCGCCTCAGCGCGTGCCGCCCTCCTTGCCGAGACACCTCCATGGATAGCGCACTGGGCAAATTCTACACCAGCTGGCCAGCCAACTCCACGGTGAGCGTCGGTACAGACCACCACCACCCTGAATCGATGACGAGGCCTCGCTGCCGGCGAATGTCGACGTGCTCTCGACGTCGATGGCGGTGATGCCGAGTGTTTTGTCACCGACACACGTCAGTGAGGGCCACACCTTCGGATGGCCGACGATGGGACACCGAATCGTCAGAAACAGACCTGAGAGGGCATCCAGCGGACAGCAAATGTATCATCCATCCGCGAATGGGCTCCGTGTCCATCCATCCATCCATCCATCCATGCGAGGGGGCGGACGGGCGGTTGACCTCTGATGGTCCATGAGGCTTTGGTGGCGTCGATGTTGCCGTGCAGCGGAATGTCGAACGCGTGATGCGGGGACCGGAAGTGGATGATTTTTTGGCGGATGATGACGTCTGAACAAGAAACAAACGGCAGGGGGAGCACACCGGCGTGAATGTCCAGCCCACCACGAGCCCCACACTCCTTCCCGACCTACCTGGTCGGGCATCCTTCTGTAGAAGGTCCACTTCTACACAAAGAAAAGGACATGTAGTACACACACAGAAGTCGGAAAAGGCTCGAATGGCATTAATTGCAAGAGAGGCCTGCAGGCGGTCGTTCACCTATGACGATGGAGTCATTGCATTGCTGCCAGTGTATCTGTTGGATATATCAACAGAGAGAGAGAGAAGGAGAACGCCCATGAGCTTAGCTTTGTGGGTCAGTGCGGGTACTCAGCGCTCACCGATGGCTGCCCGAGGCGCCTGAGAAGCCCTCTCTTTTCCGCTGAAAGACCAGGGGGCGCCAGCATAGTGCACTCGTGTTGGAACGTGGAAGGAAGGTGAAAGGAGCAGGCGGAAAGGCGCCAGGCCCTCACTCTTTGCTTTCAGCTGACTTCCAGGCTTGGTGTGTGCCGACGTGAGATGCAGCAGAGCCGCTGAAACTTTCCTCTACACTCGATCGTGGCCATTTTTCTGCGGCCGGGTGAAGTGAACCTATCCAACCACACCTTTGTGCGCATGCGACGGACTCATTCAAAACTGAGTAGGTAGAAGTAAGTAGTGAGTGCATCTGTGTGTCTGTCCATAGTGCGTGTCGTGTCGGTCACGAGGCGGCCCCACAACATGCATGAACGTACATCTCATCTAGCTGTACACACCCCTCTCCTCTCACAGCCCCCGTGCTTCATTGGCAGACCACATCTATCTCTGCCTGTCATTCAACAGACAGACAGACAGACAGACAGACAGATGTAGGCAGGTACGTCGATGCGCGGGGCAGACCGACACGTCACCGGCCGACCGTACGCAGCCTTGTTTGTTGCCGGGCTTATTCAGCTGCCGGCGCAGCGGGTGCCGGGGCAGGTGCTGATGAGGCGGTTAATCCACCAGAGCATGAGATCTTGGCTGCGGAGGCGCCCGGCCGTGCGCACAGCTTTGAGAGCGTCGAGTCATCGATCGTTGCGCCGCTGAAATCGGCCTTGGCGATGCTCTTGATCTGCACCCACCCATCGCACAGTCAATAAAGGACGAGTGCGAGATGACCCCCATGATACATACGTCATGAAATGAATGAGTGTGCGGACGGACCTTATCGACGTTCTTCGCGTTGGTGAAGTCGGCGTTATTCAACGCGGTGCCGGTGAAGTCGACGTTGGTGAGGTCGGCACCCGGCCACTTGGACTTCTCAAGAAACGCACCCTCGAAGTTCGATCCCTTCAGCTTCGCGTCAGTGAACCTGACACACATCACACCAAGCAGGCACACATCAAGCAGACATGGACATGGTCAGTCAGTCAGTCAGTGTCTGGGTCTGTCGGGGCGTTGGTCGGCTTACAGATTGCTGGGTGCCCACATATACGAGAAGTCGGCGTTTTCTGCCTTGATGCCGCCCCAGTCCAGCCGCTTGTCGCCCGAGCTGCCCAGCTTCTTACCGTCAAGACTCGACTTGCCTGCACAGCACACACACACACACAAACAGACGAAAGCATGATTGATTGTGGGTTGGTTGAGTTTGCAACCCCTCTCTCGCCGTGGACGCACGCACCGTCATAAGCCTTCCATGAGGGGTACTCGGTTTTGTCCCTCAGAATGCCCATGTACTCAGTGCCGAGGATCTTGGGCTTCCTGTAGCCCTTCTCAGGCTGACACCACACACCATTCACACAAACACAACACAGGCAGACAGATAGACACGGAGAGTTAGTGTTGGGCGATGATTGATTCATTGGTTCATGGATCGATTGCCAGGCTGGCTCACCGTGGCGGCAGATGCGTGGGCAACGGAGTCGGTGAGGGCGGTGTGGTCGATGACGGGGGAAAGCGCCACAGACGCACCCAGAAGGAATGGCAACGCGCTCAGCAGCTGTCAAACGAACATCACAGCAACCATTGCACAAATCATCACAACAATGATTGATCTGTCATCGTGTTGGCTTTTCCCGTCCCTCGCTCACTTTGCGTTCAACCCCCCTCTCCGATGAGTCGGCCATCCTCAGCGCTGTCTTGTGCTGGTGCCTTGCAGGCGATGACAGCGGCCGGACGGCGCTGTACCGAAACGCATTGGTGGTGCCGACCAACAGAGCCGCGACGGCGATGCAAAATCCACGAGAAGCCATCCCTTCGACACCAGATCTGACCCTCACGACGGGCGAAACAACACCAGACCCGACGTGCAACCTCCAATCACAACGCGAGCTATACCCTAGACCCAAAACCCTAGCGCAAGGGGGAAAAAGCGTTCGCAAGGGAAGAGCCGCACCCATGACGAAGAATGGTGTCGGGGTCGAGGGCAAGCTGCTCGACTACCGGCTTGAAATCGCAATCGAGGCCTACATGGAGTTGGCAAACGAGAAGAAGCCAATCGAGGGCTTTGTGCAGCCGAAGAGCCCAAAGCACCACCAGATACCAGTCAAACACGTCGGAGCCCACACGACACACACAGACGCTGTGCACAGAGCAAGAACAGAGTGACTGTTCGTCTGTCTTTCTCTCGTTGGCTTGGCTGGCTGCAGAAGGTTGACCCGAGGTTGGACCGTCGTCATTCGATGGAGCTGATAGCCTCGTCGACGACGGAGCAGATGGCGGACATCGACTCGCTCTACAGCAGGATTGGCGGGCAGGACGTCGTCGACGATCTGGTCGAGCGCTTCTATCGCAAAATCATGAGGGACGACCGCATCAACTCGGTCTTCGGCAGAGTCGACGTTGGCAGGGTAGGTCGGCACGGCGGACAGTGCATGGTTTGCACGTCGAGTGCCTGTCTGTCTTCGAGGATGGGTGCTTTGGTTTGGTTCAACTTGATGCTTTGCTTCCTTGGTGCAGATCAAGAAGCATCAGGCGAGGTTCCTGTCGATGATCCTGGGAGGGCCTGACCAGCACGAATTCGCCAACACCGACCTCACTGCCATACACGCCAGGCACAACATCAACGTAAGCAACAACAGAACAGCGGAACACACGGACGGCACAAGGCGGACAGCGGCCAGTAAGGTCAGTCATGATTGATGGCTTGCGTGTGTGCCTGTGTGTGGGGGTCTCTGACGTTAACAGGCGCATCACTTCGGTGCGTTTGTGGAGGACTTCAGGTCCACCCTGGAGGACATGCACCTCCACCAACTCATACCTGTACGTCACGCAGCACAACCATCCACCGCACCACCCGACCCCCTGACAAATTCAATTCTCTGTGTGCCTGTGTGTGCAGGAGGCGCTGTCAGTGATCCAGTCGCGTCGCGACGAGGTGCTGGGTGTGGGCACGAAGCGGCAGTCGTCCTTCGAGGCCCTCACGCTGGGCAGGTCACACTCCACCGACATCAGACCGGTCAATGACTACTTCAGATACCACTGACTGACGTCCTGACTGACGGACGAGTTGGCTGATGCACTCACTCGTATGACGGCCATGGGTGGTGGGGGGGTGGGTGGATGGATGGATTGATGTATCTCTGTACAGACGACTGACTGACTGGCTGATGGGGGTGCCGATCAAGACTAGAGGGGGGATGTAAAGTCTTTCTGGGGAGGGAGGGAGGGAGGGAGGGAGGCGGTCGTGTGTGCAGGTGGGTGAGTGGGAGGAGGTGATGGTTCTTCCTTGTCGTGTCTTGTGGGCTGCTTCCTTCGGTTGGGGCGTTAGATGAGGTGAGATGAGAGCGGCTGGTGCATTAACGAGATGAGAGCGTCGCGAAGGGACAGAGGAGGGGCGGCGGAGAGGCTGACGGCCTCCCTGCCTGCTGACAGACAGAAGTGACTGACGTGCTCAACTCAACCAACTAATGTACTGACTGATTTGAGCGTGTCATGTACGTCCCCACGCACATACATGAGTGAGAGTCGACTGTGGGTGGGTGTTTGTGAGGGTGAGACAGACGGTCGAGTGATTCCTGTGGACTTGTTTTCTCCGTAACCGTCTGTGTCGTTGTCTGGTGTCAGAAGTCTATCGACTCGCTCTACTTACTTGCTCATTTGCCTTTACCGTTCCCCTCTGCTGCTAGACACGCACACACACACACACACAGACAGACCGTGCAGCGCCTTCCAGCCACCATCTCTGTGTGTGTGTGTTGTTATGTAGGTCTGCAGCTCTAATGCCACCACACGACACCGCACCCCACCGCCACTGTCTGAGCGTATTTATTTTTCCGCGTGACGTGATGTGATGTGATGTGCCATGGATGTCGTTCGTGTTTTGCTGTGTGGACAGTGAGGGTGTCCATCGTATGTACGTATGTGTGCCTCTAAGTAGATAGATAGTCAGATATATGTTGTGCCATCAGTCTTTCTGGTGCGTGGGTGAGATGAGAGGTGTCATAATCAGGCGTGAGAGTTTTTTCCAGTGAGTGACTAATGGGGGATGTCAGATGAGGAGGGAGGGAAGTGCTGGTTGTGCTGCGTGTGTCCTATAGTGTGGCTGACTGACTGACTGGCTCACATCACTCAACCAACATCTTATCTTCTTCCTGTGTGTGAATCGCTCGCGGCACTCACTCATGTCTTGACACGAACCGAACAACTCTGCATATCGATTACATAGAGTCAGTCAGTCAGCGACCCTCGAAAAACAAAACAGACAGACAGACACGGCAGCAGTCATCGGCCATCACTCACATCAAAGAAAGCTGTCATCGACTCGTCTCGTCCGCTCATTCATTCGACCTCCTGCAGGTAGTCCTTGACCTCGGCAGGCGTGAGGACTTTGAACTTCCTGTCCTCGCCCACGACGCCGATCTCGATGGCCTCCTCGTCCATCACGCCGTCGAAACTCTCCTTGAGCGTCAGGATCGCCGTGTGAATGGCGTCCTCCAACTCCATGTCGTCATTGTACCTGATGAGATGATGAGGGACAACACAGCACAGACAGGCCAGCCAGGCCGTTGTTGTGTGTTGCAATGCATGGGCGTGTCGAGCGAGTGGATAGGTGGGTGGGTGTGTGGGTGGGGTGGCACTGCACTGACCGTTTCTCGAGGAATGTCTTTGCGTTGATGTAGTTCTTGCCGCAGGCCGTGGCCTTCCAGGGGAAGTAGGCCCCTGACGGGTCGACCTGGAACAGATGCGGGCCCTCGTGGTCATACCTACGTGACATGACCACCATACCATGCACACACGCACAGACGAAGAGCGAATGGTGGGAGGGAGGGATGGGGGCACTGATGTGTGACTGACTGACTGACTGACTGACTGACCCAGCGACGAGAAGTGAAATTCCGAAGGGCCTGACGCCTCCCTCCTGGGTGTACTCCTGCATGACCTCGGCGCAGTCCCGCGATATGATGCCGATGGGAATCTCCTCCTCATACCGCAAGTGATACAACGACGCCTGCACACACACACACCAGACACAACAGAGTGAGTATCCTCACTCACTCTCGATCACCTCACATGCACTCACTGCACTCACTGCTGTGCTGTGCTGATCCACCCACCCTGTTTGTTACCTGTTTTCTGCCCCTGGAAACGAGCACACGGAAGTCTGGTCCCATGCCTGAGAAGGTGCATCCGACGTTGGTGAAGAGGGGCTCCACCTTGCGGATGGTGCTCGTGTCGCACAGCTTGTCCTTGACCTTCTTGTCCACCGCTATCACCACACCGTTCTTCGCCTTGACGCCCACCGACAGCGTCCCCGCCCCCACCGCAGCCAGGGCGTTCTCCACAGCCACAAGCTTGCCGCTCGGGGCGAAGGTCGTAAGGGAGAACGAGTAGTCGCTGTCACCCATGATGGCTCAACGGGACGAGGCAATTAACGATGCAAACACGCCTGTGACGTCTGCCGCTGTGCAGCAAGGCCTCGCAAGACGCTCGAGATTCCAGATCTCCCACAACGCCAACAAGCAGCAGCGATTTCATGCAGCACCCTAGCCCGAGCTGAGCGTGCACAAAGAGGAACAGAACGAGAAGGGACGTGCTATAGGAGCCACAGGACAGCCGCAGGACATGCTCGTTGATTGCTGACGGTCGATATGGGAGGTAGGCGAACGCAATGCAGCTTGATCTCTGTGCGTGTGACGCTGTTTGTTTGTGTGTGGCTGGTCGGTCAGATTCGGGTGACGATGACGACTTCCGCATGTCGGCTGACCAGGACGATGATGAAGAGGACGAGCAGCTGAGCCCTGGCGAGGATCTACTCTACCGCTCACCGCCTGGCAGAAGGCAACAGAGAAGACACTCCGGCAGGTACGTACGTGCAGGACACGACAGACAGACATGGCAACACCAGACAGACAGACAGACAGACAGAAGAGTGTGTTGCTGCCGTGCGTGTGTGTGAGTAGGTATGATGATGATGAGGAGGAGGATGAGATGGGCGGTAGGGAGGGCGTCATGTACAGCGTCACCGCTCCAAAGGCCAACAAGCGCCTCAGGGCCTGCCTGAACTGCAAAATGATCAAAACCTTCGAACAGGTAGGTACGCACACATCACACACACAGAGACATTCCGGCAGGCAGCTGCAGCCAGCTGCAGCTGGAAGTGCGAGTCGGGTGCGGTGCCTGCCATTGGTTGGTTGCTCCGTGTGTTGTGTGTTGTGTGTTGTGTGTGTATCAGTTCTTCGAGGAGGGTTGTAACAACTGCGACAGGCTGGGTCTACAGGGCGACAAACAGAGAGTGGAGGACAACACCACCGCCAACTTCTCGGGGTGAGTAGTGAGGTCTGTCTGAGTTCACTGAACCGGACTCCGTGTGTGATGGGATGGTATGGTGCTGGGGTGGGTGAATGCGGCGATTGACTGAATGGCTGCAGGTTGGTCAGTTTGTGTGACCCGGCACGCAGCTGGGTGGCCAGATACAACGGGCTGAGTGAGTGAGAGAGCACCACGAGAGAGAGAGGAACACATACCTACCACATTCGCACACCTCGATTTGTTTGTATCACCCTTGTGTTGTCGTCTCTGCTTGTGCAGCTGGCAAGCTGCCAGGCTGCTACGCCGTCAGTGTGGTCGGCGAACTCTCAGAAGGTGCGGGCAGGGGTGCAACTCCACACGAGGAAATGAGGGCAGGATGGATGGATGGATGGACGTGTGTGTGTCTGTGTGTGTGTGTGTGTGTTTGTGTGTGTGCAGCTGTGCAAGACGAGATCCGGCACAGCTACGACTAGGGTGCAGACAGACAGGGGGCCGACGCCCAGACGGACGCCTATTTGTCGTGCATACGATACGTGCCATGGACGTCTGCTGCCAGTGACACTGACTGAGACCTCGTTCTCCTCCTTGTCAGTGAAGACATACACACATAGATCCAATCCAATCCACTCCATCCATCCAAAACCAGCAGATAGATAGAAGTAAGTGTCCCACTCACTCATCTGTCTCATCCACCCATCCCATGTATACGGCACCAAACTCAGTCAGTCGGTCAGTCAGTATGTAAGACGTCCGCACAGCAGGGAGTCACTCACTGGCCGGCCGATAGACAGACGCATCATCGCATGTGACGACTGACCTTCGTTGTTCGTTCACCTACGCAGGCAGATATGACGACGAATTACCAACCATACCGGATGGATGGATGGATCGGATCGAATTGGCAGCAGTGGGACTCAGTGTGATTCAAACAAACAAACCACCACCACCACCACACCAGCAGCAGCTCACCCCACCCACGTTACACACACGCACCCAGCACTCACTCCACCCATCCCATCCACACCATATATCAGTACTGACTGACTGACCTCCCCACCGTCTCTCCCTCTCACTCTCACGGCCATCAATCAGATCAGTGGGGTTGGGTTGATCTCCCCACCGTGTGGAGCGAGCGGACACCGATAAAGCCATCAACCAGCCACCAACCACCGAACCGATCAATCAAGTCACCTCACCGGACGTACTTGCGTAACAGAGGCCGAAACTGCATGCCAAGGGTCTGCACCAAGCACACAAGCAAGACGATGAATGCTCCTCTCTCTCTCTCTCTGTGCGTGTGATCGCCCGAGCGAGGTACCGTACCTTAGCACCGATTCGGCATAGTTGGCAGCTTGGGCAGAGTTTGCCGGCGAACTCGGCCTTGACGACGGTGCCGCAGTAGGGGCAGCGAGCGGTGCCGGCACCCGACGGGATCACCGTCAGAGACTCGGCACATATCGTGGTGTTCTCTGCATCACGTCACGTCACACACAGAGACACAGACACAGACGCACGGCGTTAAATACTGATTGGGTGTGGTTGGTGGGGTTACTGACTGACTGACTGACTGACCCCATTCGTTGGGATCGTAGTTGATGTTGTGGGCGTCGGAGGCCTTCTGCTCGCACACTGCCAGACACTTGCTCGCCTGCATAGAATAGACCACACCACACACACTCAACAGATATCTATCGGTCAGTTTGTCTGTCTGTCTGTCTTGCCACGTTGAGGAAACAAATTGTGTGCCGACCGACCTGTTCGACGGCCTCCCTGACGCTCCGCTGGCCGGCCATGTTGCCCTGGATGATGCGCTTCGCAAACTGATAATGCGCAGATGGAGGGATAGATAGATGGATGGATGGATGGCCAACCGACCAATCGGATCACACACACAGAGACAGAAGCGCATGAGTGGGCCAGTCAGTCCTATTGCGTGAGCATCGCGTGTGTGTCTGTACCGATGCGGCCGTGATGAAGTTTTGCGCCCTGAATGCGGTGGTCATAGCCATGCGGACGGCCAGCAGCAAGTGCGCCGGCTGCATCTTGCAAGTCGTCAGGTAAGACGCCAGCTCGACACCTGCACACTCACACACGCATACAAACGTACTTACATGATGGGGTGTGTGTCGGTCGTGTGGGTAAGGTCGTGGGTAAGGTCCTCTCTCAGCTTGCTTACTTCTCGCAGCTTGGTTTTGCGGGAGGTCTTTCCTCGTGACTTCGATCTTCATGGCCTTGACGTACTCGCGGCATATCTCTATCGACTCGTTCAACTGATATCGGATACGCACACACACACACACACACACACAGAGGGAGAGGGAGAGGGAGAGGGAGAGAGTGCACGGCGTGGGTGCCAACCCACCCACCCACCCACCACCCACCCACCTGTGCCTCTTCCTCGTCGTTGGTAGCCGTGACGAGAGGGATGGTCTGCAGCACCCCACGGAAGGCCTGCAACGCCTCTCCAAACTTGCCTGCAGTACAACACACATTCTCGCCGAACGGCCATAAGCACACAGACAGAGACACGGCGTCGCCTCCCTCCCTCCCTCCCTCCGCACCTTGTGTGGTGAGTTTGTTGGCGTCTCTGAGCATCTCGAGCAGCCCCGGTGGCGTGAACAGGTGCACAGGCACGTCATTCTTCTCTTTCAAAGTGCCGCTCGCCAGCAGAGGAAATGCCATCGACGGCGTGTGCGGCAGTCCTGGCAGGTAGCACCACGTTGCCTACACCCACACCACACAAACACACAGACACAGACACACACGTGCAGGTGGCCAGGCGTGTCTGTGTGTGTGTGTGTGTGTTTGTGTGTGTGTTTGGGGGACTGACCTGGTATGCCTGTAGGAAGAGTGGCTGCAGCGGGTCGGCGTTGATGAGTCCGATGCGCTTGCGCAGCATCTCGAGAGCTGCCTCGAAGTCACCTGGCATGACCCACAGACACACAGGCATGTGCAGTTCCCTCCCTCCTTCTGCGGGCAAAGGAACACCCCCCACCCCATCCCACCTGCTGCGACGAGGTCGGGCACCATGGGCTGCTCACGCACCCATCTACACGATGTAGACACACACCGACTCATCTCAGACGCACCACGATGATGGCACGGCATGGACCTATCGGTGTTGTCTGTCTTTCTCCCCCTCTGCATGGCATGCTCACCGTTGCTGCGGCCTTTCTCCTCTGCTGACGAATCGGCCGGCGGCCGCTGCCGGCGCCGCTGCAGCAGGGGCTGCTGCGGCTATAAAGACAGACACATATGCACAGCAGCAAAACACTCACTCGTCGCCTGACTGCGTGTGGGTGTTTTCAGCTGATTGCGGGCACACCTGCGCCAGTGGGTGTGGTTTCGATGGTGCCGAAGTCGAGGTCATCGCCGCCCCAACCACCGCCAGGTGCCTGATGGACATGCCACACACACACACACACACACACTCGTCCATCTCTGCTGCTGAGTTGTGTCGTGTCGTGTTGTGTCGTGTTGTGTTGTGTGGCTGAGCAGCCCACTCACTCACCGCGGCGTCTCCCAGTGCAGCATCGAAGTCGCCCATCTCGTCTGCCCAACCGCCCTCGCCTAAGAGACGAAGACCAGCCACACACCAGACCCGCACCATGGTGTTTGAAGGTGCCCATACGGACGAACGAACAGGTCATGTAACTAACGCGACCCACCTGCCGGCACGCCCGTGGCGTCCTCAAAAGCCATCTCCTCCTCAATGCCTTCTGGACACACACACACACACACACACATACGGTTTCACGACTGCAAGTGCATTGCTTTGCCCATTTGCGAGCGAAGGTGCACGGACCTGCTTGTGGTCCGTTTTGCTGGTCGGTGACGTTGGCTGCGGTGGTGAGTGCGTTCTCGAATATGTGCTTTGCCGAGCTCAGCAACGGCCAGTTGGTCGCCTCTGTGTGGGCACGGCACGGCACAGAAAGAGAGAGGCACATATGAGAAAGTTGTGTGTGTGTGTGTGTGTGTTTGGGGAGTGGGAGTGGGAGGGGGAGACCACTGTCGGTTTGTCTGATGAGTGGGAAGGGTGGGATGAGCAGCTTTGGGCTGGCGGGCATGATCGAGTCGAAGTCCACACCCTGAACCGCCTCCTCCAGCGCCTGCACACAACACATGTCATTCATGTGTGTTAATCAGATGATCGATCTGTGTCTGTCGTGCGTGTCCTTTGGCCCCCAGATACGTTAGTTAGGTAACGTACCTGTGAGTACTCTGTGAGTCCGTGTGTCTTGGCTGTGAGTGCCGCCAGGGGGGTCTGCCCCACCTCTGCCAAGATCTTGACGCGCTCAGCCACATCGCCCAACATCAGAGCTGCACCGCACCCACCATCACCACACACACACACACACATACAGACAAAGCTGCGTTTCTCTGCTGCAGGTGCATATGTGTGTGTGTGTGGCCGGACCATTATGGAATCGCGACATGACGTCGCCCCTCATTTCGGCGATCTTGAGCATCTTGCGCAGCTTGGCGATGTTGCCTGCAGTGCGGGCAGCCAGGAAGGAACACATAAAGGCGTGATTTACAGCGAATAGCACTCATTGGAAGGGGGCACATGCCCCGCCAGGCGTGTGTTGGTGCAGAAGATGCAGAGCAGACAGACATACCAGTGATGAGGTAGAGGAAGGAGAGGCGCTCGAAGTTCTTGGTGCGCTGATAGACCTGCACGATGGATGCAGACCAGACAGACAGACACCACACACCCCACACACACCAGGCACAGAACATGGTATGACAACGGGCGTGTGTGTCTGTCGTGTAGCGGTGGTGGTGGTAGGTTACTTACCATTTCGACAATCTGGTGGTTACCCTGACGCAGCGCCTCCACACCAAGACGTGTCCAACAAGCCTGCAGAAACACACACATACACACGGTGAGGGATGTCTGTCCCTGTTGTGCTGCCTGCGTTGGTTCCTTGCTTGCCTTCTCGTCGATGATTTGTGCGGAGGCCATGGCTTCTTCGATGTGGCCGAACTCCAAGGCCAAGTTGAAACGCGTCCGGGGATCTTCCACAAACTGAGAGATACACACACAACACAGAGAGACATGACAGACACAGACATACAAAGCAAAGCAAAGAAAGGCCTATAGTGAGTGAATGGACGCACTCGTGTGCGAAAGACGTGGCTCTCTCTCTCTCTCTCTCTGTGTGTGTGTGTGTGTGTTGCGTACACACCTGCAAAGCGACTTCTGGGTGTCCTTTCCGCTTGAGGTAGCCGATGACAGCATTGCCGCACAGACGTCCTGCAGCCAGCCAGCCATGAATGCGACAAACCAACCACATGTGTGTGTATGACTACGTGTGTGTGTGCGTGGGGTCACACAGATGAGTGCGCACCTGTTTTGATGAAAGAAGCGACTTGGTTGAACTGTTTGTGGTGCAGCGCCAGCTTGAACAAGTACTCGGTGCAATTCAACTTCTGCAGTCACCACACACACACACACACAGACATGAAAGAATGGGTGTGTGAGGCGGTGTGTGGTGTGTGGGTGTGTGTGCGCGCCTGCTTCTGGACGGTGTGCTCGCGAGTGAGGAAGTAGAGGTGCTGCTTCGCCACCCTACAGACACACACACACACACACCAGGGCACACAAGCATCGCATTCACGGCATGGATCCCTGTCTCGGTGTGTGTGTGTGCTCCCTCCCTCCCTCCCTACTTGATGATGTAGATCGGGTCGTTGAGTGAGTGGATAATGCCGTGGTCGCCGTTCGTCAGGCAGTATTTGACGTGACTCAACGTTGAGTACACAAACACTCCTGCACACAACACAGACACACACGACACACGCCTCGGTGTGGGTGTGGGTGTGGCTTGGTGTGTGGTGGCTACCGTGTTCGTCCCACGCGCCGCTTTTGATGCGGATGTTTTCGTGCAGCGAGTAGAGGTTCTCGAGCTTGCTGTCCGCCAGGAGGATGTTGTGCTTGGACAGCAAAGCCACGTGGCTCATCGACGGGGACCATATGATGTACCTAACACACCACACCACACCACACCACAGCACCGCACCGCCCAACACACATACACATACCCCTCTCTCTCTCTGTGTGTCTCTCTCTGTCTGTCTGTGTCTGTGTCTGTTTCTGTTTCTGTGTGTGTGGGCGGATCGGTGGCGCACCTGACTCCTGAAGCGCATGTGACCTCGCCGAGCGTCTTGCGCGTCGTGAGATCGTACAGCAGCACCTGCACACACATCACATATGACACACACACAGACAGACAGACACACAGGCGGCGTGTGTGGTGCGGTGCCACCAACCAGACCGAACCTTTTCCTCGCTCTTGAGAAGGAGTCTGTTGTTGCCGGCGGGGAAGATGCGGTCGACGGTGCAGGGCGGCTCGATCCGCTTAGACAACTCGTTGGACAAGTTCAAGATCTCGATCCAGCCTGTGTGGCACAACCCCACACACAGAGAGACCATGTGCGGTGCTGTGCCCGTTGTGTGTGTGTGTGTGTGTGTGTGTACCTGATTTGTCGAGTGTTGCGAAGCGATTGCGCGCGATGAAGGCAACGGAGCTGGCGGAGCCCTGCCCAATTAACACACACACCAAGACAAGACGGCCAGATGTTTATTTAGGACGTGTGTGTGCGTGCGGATGTGGTGGCTGTCTTGCTGTTGCTGCAGCTGGCTGACCGTTTTGGTGGGAATGGCGTCTGCCCTGCCAACGGTGTCGACAGGGCATGTGACGAGGTCGTACGAGCCGCCCTCGGTGTCTTGCTGATGAGTGGATGACGGGCCACGATTGATTCATTGATCCGTAGAGTCGACACACACACACACACACACACAGCAGACAGGGAGGGAGGGAGGGAGGGAGGGGGGGATGCGTCCAAGAGTAGTCACACACACGGAGGGGAGGTGGATGCGTTTCTCGTCAGGTGACTGACGCACGTAGTATACGAGGAGGTTGACTTCTGTCGGGTTGAGCGTGTTGACGTACAGGTATCGCGGGCCTGTGTCTCACACACACAAACAGACGGACAGATGTGGGGGCGACACACATACAGAGAGGGGAAGGGAGGGAGGGAGCGGCCCACGTGTGTGGTGTGTGTGTGTGTGTGTGTGACAGACCGCTGGCCATGGGGTTTGGCGGCCTCCGTGCGCTTGTGAGTGAGGTGGACGTGTCGCTCGTCAGGTCATAACGCTGTTTGGCAGTCAGCCATGACACACACCGATACTCTCGTGTGTGTGTGGGGTGGTGGTCGCGTAGCTGGTTAGTTACCGTCAGGTATCTGTCCTTGATGTAATAAAGATGGTGCCCGTGCACCTGCACACACACACACACACACACCCATCCGCAGGCGATTCATTTTCTCTCTCTCTCTCTCTGTCTGTCTGTCTCTCTCTCTGTCTGTCTGTCTGTCTGTGTGTGTTGATACGTGGCAGGCCGGCCTCTCCCGGTCCAGCTTGAACACAACCATCCCGCTGTCATGACCTGATACCACCACAACACACACACACACACACACGTCTTTACTCCTGATGGCGACGAGAGGTTTCTGGTGCGTGGGTCCGTACCGACAGCAATGAGGTTGGACGATTTGTGTGCGGTGAGGATCCAAAACCGGTCGTTCTCGCGACGGAATGTGTGGATGCCTGGCAGGCACACACACATTCCGTTCGTCCATAGGCCGATGCACCCACCATTGGGGACAGAGATGTCTCTGCAGGTGAGTGAGGAGCACAGTCAGTCCACCTGTTCGTTTAGAAGCGTCCCACACACGAATGGTCCGGTCTTCGGAATTGGACAGCACCAGATCCTGAAGGAACGAGTTGCACCATAATAAGTGGATGGATGGATGGATGGCATCTCCCACGAGGGAGGGACCACCGACAGACATGAATGACGTAGATACATACCTTCTTAGGGTGGAAGAGGACGCACGAGACGTTGTTGAAGTGGCCGCGAAGGGTGTCCACCTCCCACGCTTTGGTCTCTGTCCCTCCATTCGGCGGCACACAACACAACACAACACAACACACAACAGACAGACAGACAGACGCAAATGAGCACACGGAACCCCATGTGTGTGCGCGTGTGTGACATGTCATGTCCCTCCGTCTGAGTACCTACCGTTCATCCGCCACAGTTTGATGAGCCTGTCGTCGGCGCCCGACACGATCAGCGGGAGGCTGGGGTGGAACGACGCCCAGTTGACGCCACGGTCGTGACCCTCCAACACATACCTTCACACACACACACACACACACATGAATGGATGGACACATGGATGGATGGATGTGTGTGGTTTGGTCGACTGACTTGACGACTGCATCACTGGTGCCGAACACGTCTGCATGCTGGCTGTGGCTCGGACCTGCACAGACAGCACAGGCCACACCCACCAGACCAGACGGACAGACACAGCACACACAATCAATAGAAAGACACGCAATATACGAGTGGGGGTGAGCAGAGGAGAGGCGCGTAGGTGCGTACCGGATCCCGACCCACTGATGGACACGGTCTTCTCGCGCAGACCTGTTCACACACACACAAAGACAGACAGACAGACAGACACACAGGCAGACGCAGCGATGTGTGTGTGTGTCTTGGGGAAGACCCATTCCCCCCCCCCCCCCCCCCC